TCTACTTCTTTAAAACAGATATTTATCTTGTTATACATTAGTGGCTTACAGGAGAACCCAGATACCTCAGCTGAAATCAGTGGCCTGTGTAAACACATGTAAAAATCCTTCCTGACTCCTGTATGCAACCATTTGAAGCATGAGATTTGATTATAGCCACTGACTTCACACAGAGCTGCAAGTGGTATGAACAAGCTGAATGCCAAGTAGGCAATTCTGTTCTTCTCATGGCTCATGTAGGAGAGGGATAAATAGGAGGATTCATAGATAATGGCATGCATTTTACTAGCTATAAAAATCAGATGTTCTGTGCAAGATTTAGGTGCTTTTTATCTGATGATATTCATTTAGGTCAGTAGCTCTAATACTAGTTCTTGTCTTCAAAAATTTTGCACTGCCAACATTTATCAGGAGTATGCAGAATGAATTCATGTAATGCAGATGGAACACATCTGCACTCCCAGGTCTACTTTTGGGAATCCCATGGGCATGCTTAACAGTTATTTATTGAACTACATGTAAATTATAGCTCAACACATCAAAATCATGTCAGAAGCAATACTGATCATAAGCTTAACCTTGCTCCCACTAAAGCCAACAGCAGTTCTCTCCTTTATTTCAGCTAGAATAAGATGAGGCCCTTGGAGTTAATTAGGGCAAGCAGACCAAAGAAAGATGCTGTGACAAAACAATTTATTTTTAGGGCTGTTCTATTTGCAAACAAAGGAATTAGTGTCTGTGGTAATAAATCCCAGTCTTGTCCACTAATATTTTTTCCCTTGCTTCCATCTTCTCTAAACTCCTTGATAATTGCATTTGCAACATGTGCTAAGAACATGGAGCAATCCGAGTGGTTGGCAAGTGTCCCAGACCCTGCAAGTATCCTAGGAAATACATACAGGTCACATCTTGTTAAGCTAATCACTGAAGAATATTCAAATCCCAGGCGTAATAAACACCAATTGTTTATTACTAAGAGAGGTATCCTTTATTATGAGGTATCAGTGATAACTTTGTGCATGTAGAGATAATTGTTTTGCATATGGATCAATCAAAATATTCTGTTTATTAATAGATACAAACTACAAAATATTAGTGTGCTGTGATTCTGATGAAACGTAAAATTCATTACTGATGCTGTAGCAATAGCAAGAGAGGCCGCATCCAGATGTGCAGGGGCATGCGCTTACAGAGGCACAAATAGTAGTGGTACAAATTTGTGCCACAGCATATGCTTTGGTAGGGACAAACTGTCAAGCAAACTGCCCTTTCCCTGCTCCTCCTGGCTCCCGGCATGCTGGAGCACAAATGAAATAGTAGAGATGCTCTGGCCGGCAGCCAGAGCATCTCCTCGGAGGACCAAGCCTCTGTTTGTTTTGGAACACTATTGTAGCATGTGCCATGCTGCTTTTTTTCTCAGTGTCTTTTTTTTTTCCTACCAGGAAATCCCAGTAGCAAATTTTGCCCCTGCACTGCATATTTACAGTGTGGAGCATGTTTTAACATCCCGGGCGTGTGATTTGAAGCACCGCAAAGAGGTTTGTGGCACTACAAAGCACATGTGCCTGCATGTCTGAAGGCAGCCAAAGTGTTTTACAATCCCCTCCCCCACCCATGATTGTCATAAGAACATGAAACTGGAAGGTATCTCCCAGGTCAAGAAATGCAGTCTCCTGCTACTGCAGTCAGCCATGTCAAAGAAGCCCTTTCATAAAGTAATCAAGCTCCATGATAATCCTAGTTGGGTATTTTGCCCCTCCCATTCAGGTCTGAAGCCTGTTCCAGAATATATTTATTCATGGCTACTTCATACCCTCTTGTTCTTTTGTCAGTGTTGTCTTCTAACATAAACACACTTTTGGCCTTGCCATGTGCCTTGTGCTCTTGATGTATTTACAGACAGTAATCAAATCCCTCTCTACCTTCATTCATAAACAGATCAAGCCCTTCTGGTCTTCACTCATATGGCAGGCTCTCCATTCCATCATCCATCCTTCTCTTCAAGTTGTTTTCCCTTGCTTAAGATGCAAATTTCAGATGGTTTTTGCACTTCTGACTTAAAGAAATGTTATACCTCCTCCACACAGTCAAATCCTTCAGCTTTTCAATTTAGTTGTCTTCATTAACTAGTTCCCTTATTTTCTCAATTTTTGCTCCTTAGAAATGCAAAACCTAGGCTACAGACCTAATTTTCTTCATCTTTCCATTTAATTTGACTGAATCACCTTGTGCTCACTCAAACTAAAGCTATTTTCTACACCCAGCTCTTCTATAATGCCCTTATTACATATCAAAATTCAACACTGAATTGCTGTCACCTTTTCTTGGTTCAGTAACTATCTGTTAAAGAAATCTGTCTGCTATCATGTCCAGAAATAACTGGGACTAACTATTATTATTAGTAGCATTTCTTCTCCAGTTGTAGTTGGGAAATTGAAGTCTCCTAAAGTGGCACAAGTGTCACTATTAGTTATCTCAATAATAAAATCCTTAGATAGGGATAAAATCCCCATCTAATATCTAATCTCATGTCAGGGGTCTACATGTAAACCCATACAGCTAGCAAAATAGTACCTTTTTCTACCATCATTCCTCAACGTGACGTTGAACCAAACCAATTCATTTTTTACCCATGTATCCCCTACTTGATTCTTTACCAGCTTCCACCTCATTAACGTACAACACTACCCTACCACTACCCTTAGTTCAATATTTTGTAAACTGTGCATGCTCTTCAACAGCTATGTCCTGCTAATGATTGCCATGCTACTTATTTTTTCTTTTAGTGCTATAATATCTAGTTACACCTTCTGCACCAATAGTTCTAGTTCTTCCATTTTGCCCAGACTCTTGGCTTTAATGAACTCATCTAATTTCTTGGCTGGAACAACGGACTATCCTTCTACTAACTAGATTGCCTACTGAGGAGGTTGGACTAAATGACCTCTGGAAGTCTCTTCCAGCCCTGCTTCTCCATGATATTAAATACCATTCTAATCAATATTAGTATCTTCTTTCTCATGCTTTCCATGCTCTCACAGTCTGGTGTTCCTTTAGCTATTGCTGTATTTTTATTTATCTGATTTTTCTCTCCTTGCATACCATGCATAGAAATTACAGAAATCTTAGTGTTACATGTTATTTTCACTGGAAGATTACTACACATTTGAAACCAAACAGAACTTTGTGGTTCAAGAAATTAGTACTGGGAAATGGATCCTTAAGTCTGCACAAGAATTACTACATGAAGCTACTTGATTTCTTTATTTGAAAAGCCACTGAGGCACCCTTGTAGACAGTGCAGGGAGGCATGCATTGCTACTTCCCTACCAGCATAGTAGGTGTTCTCTATTTCAATTATGCAGAAGAATAAAAGTGCGATAAACCCTTCATAGTAGTGAAGCTGTGGATTTGGTGCACATGGATGAACAGAGACCACTCCTTAATGCCTTCATGCCTCTGTTCAAATGATTGCATATATATTGTTGAGGAACACACAGTTTTTGAGTGCTTATTGGATGTTCTATTTAACTCACTAGCACTTGTTACGAATCTGAACAGCTTGATAAACTGTATGGGTGTCTTTAGGGAGTTTTCCCTTCCTCTTTAGTCAACACTATTTAGTCTTTCTTTAAGCACATACAGCTAGGTGCTCCTTTTTTTCCCTCCTTTCATCTTTCTCCCAGATCTGATAGGTATATTGTAGAAGAGATAAATATTCCCAGACCATTTACTAAGGTACAGTCTGTCAACCTCACTTACCTAAGAAAATGATTTGTGTTGTCAAAGACTGAAAGATTTCCTCTATTCACAATTTGAACAGGTAACTAACTTTCCCCTTTCTACAACTGCCTTATCTCAGTCTCAGAGATTATCAATAACCAAGGATCATAGTATTTCCTACAGCTTTACCTATCTTTTACTTGTTAACATGTACAAAGAATTTATAAGCTCCCTTTTGAGCAGCATATTTTGCTCTCTGGCAGTCTGGACACAGAGATAGAGGTCTCACTCTTCATTTGCTGTTTTTAGGTTCAACCATACACTGAATTAAATATGGTAAAGCATACCTGCAAAAGGATCTTATTCCCATCATGGTCTTCTGTTTGCCACCTGCCTTCACTGATGGGGCTACAAGGATTTGGCAAGAGAGGAACAAGCTGTCCAACATCTTTTACTCGGAACTCCAGTACTGCGGACTCTGTCAGTGTTGGAATCTGGCCTTTGGGGAGTCTTTTTAAGGAGAATTGAATGTCTATATCCATGTTGGCATAGACAGTAAAGACACAGAAATCTGCCTTTTTCTGACACACTGGTCTTTTCAGGATTAATTCATACAGCTTCAACATGTCAACAAAGTTCTCATTTCTGCAGTATATGGTGAAACGGATAATTTCTTTCCCATAATGCACCGGCCGGATGGCCCACAGCGGGGTCCCTTGGGCCAGAGTAAAGAAGTCCTGACTGCATGGTAAGTATGGAAGGAACTTGCCATGCACTTGTTCTCTATGGTGATAATGCCATGGTGGTCTTTGAAAAGCTTCATGGAGCTGCAAAATTGGTTCTTCTCCATAGTCCTCCTGCAGAAACAAGATGACAGCAAGGGCTGGCTGAGAGACAGCAGCCTTGATAGACTTCCTGCGCTTCCTCGCAATCCGTCTTTCTGAAACTCGGAATAGCTGGAGGTCTGGATGGATCCAAGCTAACAACTTATCAATAGCTTGTTGGAGAATCTTGGATTCACCTGGATCTGTGATAATATGAACACTAACGAGGAAAGGATCGTGTACATCTTCCACAGAAAGTTCACCTGATATATATAAAAAAGTCAATATTAGGTTTTTGAAATTACTTATTAAAACCTCTTTGCATTTTGTAGTGACTTCATGTAGTCCTTGGAGAAAAAAAATATACTGCATTTACTCAAACAAAAGAGAAGATTTCTCTCTCCAATCAGCATGAGAAAAAAAGCTCCTCATCTTACGTTCACACATAAAGAAACCTCATTAAATACATTGTTTATCATTAAATTGCTGCCAAAATTAGCAAGTGCTCAGCAATGGAAATCAACTATGAAGTTGACTAAATGCAGGCAACAATGAGTGTGACTATAAAACACCTGCGGGCAGTTGCCGTGCCCCCCCCAGCCTCCAGGAGCGTGTGTCATTCATGCATACATTTCAACTTCCTCTTCACTCCTACAGCTGAGCTGTGCCTTTCTTTCCCATTATCAATGATTCCTGTTTTTTTCACCAGCCTTAAATGTCTGGCAAACATCCCCAAATGGGGCCCCAAAGAGTTCACCCAGAATCCCCCTGACACCCCCTCTCAGCCTGTCATATACGAGTAGTGAGGCCTTGCCCTCCATGGGTAGGGAGAGACATTGAAAAACCCTTAGCCTAAATTGATTCAATCTTTGCAAGTTAGTTTAAACTGCCTAGATTGAATCAGTATGCAACTGAAAAGACATTCCCTCTGGACTGATGCACATGCCTGCAGTGGCTCAGGCTAGAAGCCAGGGGGTGATAGAGCAGCCTTCCCTTCCCTTCCCTTCCCTTCCCTTCCACAGTGACTTGAGGAGCCGCATGGCCAGGCTGCGGCAGGATGCTCCAATTAGGGAGGGGTTTAAATCCCACCTTGCCTGCAGAGTCCCAGGCTTTTCCCAGGTCACTGCTCAAGGGGTGGGAGTGTTGCTAGACCCCAGCCCTGAGCTAGCACTCTGAGGCAAAGGGTGGGAGGGGCAGTGCATGCATCTGTTGATGATACTGAGCTTTTCAATCTCCTTCTCCCTGCTTCTTCATACTGTCTACACAGTGTTTATCAGCCCATCAACAAAACAAAAGTCTCTCTCATTAGTTCAAGCTCTTCTTAAACAGCTTTTTCCAAGGAAGGAATGGAGGGATATTACCAGCTGGCCTGTTAATTACCTCTAAAGTACCCTAAGCGGACACTGGTCTGTCTGCCTGTCCCAGTGAAATTGGAGACACACACACCTCTTGGCCTTAGCTAGCATATCACATGCCTAGGGTCTGTAGGGCTGGAGTCCGTGATGTGGGAGATGGGAGAGAGGGAGAGGGAATCCCTGCTTGAGCAGCAAGTTGGCAGGGGGGGCAGGAGGAATCCAGGCAGATCCTGCTGTGCCTGCAGTCTTTCCTGGAGCTCTGGCTAGGGAGCAGAAGGGCAGGCCAGCCCTGTTCTCTGAAGCAGACAGCACAGCCCAGGGCTGCAAAGCATCTGGGATACTGGGGGACTCTGGTTTAACTTAAACAAGGAAAGGGTCTGGGGCAGACATTGCATAAACCAGTTTGACCCAAATTGCTTAAGTCTGATACTATATTCAGCCAGGTTTATCTTAATCCAGTTTCAGCCATTTTGAAACTGGTTTATGTGCACCAAACTTATGTTCTGTTACAGATTTAAACCAGTTTCTTATCACTTAAACCAGTGTGTGTGTAATGTCTGTCCCTAGCCCATAAGGTGAAACCAGACCAGACTGCTCTGCACCTTATTTGCATATAAAATTTTTGGAGGATCCCAGGACTCATGACAAGAACACCCAGTTCCCATCATCAGTGGGGAGCTAATTAACACATGGTTCCTTTGTTGTGGGGGGGGAGGGGGCGGTATCTGGAGTACCCTCTCATGATGAGCAGTGCTGAGCTGTGGGGGCAGCATGGCTTGAAATGTTATTGCCCCTGCTGAAGCCCACCCCAGTGGGTTGCATGGTAAATTCTGAGCCTTTTAGCTTTGGATTAGTATCATGCATAGTTTCTACTATATATATAAAAGTAGGTACAAAAGTGCTGCTTAAAAGCGTGTTTTTTGGAGTACCTGTGCTAAAACTTGCAGCAGTTTCAGAAAAGGTAAAATGCATCAATACTGAATGAACTAAGTCTATAGGAATCTATAGTAATTTATCTATATGTAAATTACTACAGACATATTTATTTCAACGTCAGTGGGCATGTCTATACATGCAATTAATGTGCCTGAATTATCTGCGCAGAAAATTTAGATTCATTAAAGTGCTCCCTGGCATACATCTACACATGTCCCCCATTGGGAGCAAACTGAGCCCAACAGGAGCAGCTCAGTCCACGGCTGCTCCTGCCCCATTCTGTCCCCCTGCAGCAGCCAGGGGGAGCTCCAGGATCCGGGGGGCTTAGGGCTGAGCTTCAGAGGGTGGTGGGGGAAACTGTCTTGCTTGGGATTGTCCCAGCTTGAGATCTGTCTTGGCTGCCCAGCAGCTGCCTCTCAGCCATGTAGATATTGGGACCTGTCCCAATCTCCATGTGGCTAGAAGGCAGCATCCCACCAAGCCAGGACAGCAATTTGTTCCTGGTCAGCATTTACATATGTGGTACAGTGTATTAGTTAATGCACCATTTTTCTAGTACCTGCATTTACAGTTCTAGAAAAATGGCACATTAGACTATTATGCTGCCTAGTAATTGCTGTCTATGTGTAGACGGTGATACTTTACTACACATTAGTCTAATGTGCATTAAAGCATCTTGTGTAGACAGACCCAGTGTTTTCAGATTTGCCTCTTTTCCATGTGCTCAGGGAGAGCGGGATCTGATAGTAAGGAGGTAAAGGGCTGCAGGGAGAAAAAGTTGGGGGGCAGAAACAAGGTGGCCACCTCATTCCCCACAGAATTATTTTCATTACTGTAGCAGTGGGAGGGGAACAAATTCAAGGCAAACCTCCAATAATTAGATTCTATACTTGGAAAATTATAACAAATTTATAAAATTTCCATATATAGAAACTAATTATTAGGGTGTTGTCTTATGTTCAAATAAATACAGTACTGTTCAGTCAGTCACACTTGTTTCCCCTAGATCATGCTCACCTAAAAGAGTGTAGCAATAGGTTGACGCAGGAATAGTTGCAAAAAAAACAACCCCCCCAAACCTAAAAGTTAGAAAAGTTTATCAGAAATGACATATTACTACTATTATTACAATTATTATATCTTGGTAGTATCCAAAATGGGTACATTTACAGATAGGAAAAAAAAAGAATCCCTGACTCAAAGAGCTACATATGAAAGACAATGAAAACTAATGGGTAGGGAAAAGGGATACAACCTACAAGCAGAATCTTCAGGATAAAAGCTACCAAAAGTCTGTTTATTTTTATTTGTGCTACCTGGCTTTGTACTTAGAATTTAGTCAGTGGAATTCTATTTTAACATCTTGCCTTTTGAATTTTCTACCCAGTTAGAGTGTTCAGGAGTCTTAAAGGTCAATTTCTGAAGATCTTACATGTTTAGTGAAAACCAACAACAGCAAGGAGCACAAAAATCATGGTATCTGAAAGCTATTTGGGCAAAAAATCCTTACCTCTGAAACGCACAAATGAATTTAATATGATGTAGTGCCTAAAATTGCTCTAAATGGACACGTCTACATGAGATACTAACGGCACAATAGACTTATTCTATTGTGCATTAGTGCGGTACAAAAAAGTAATAGTGCACTAATGCACAGTAGAATTAGTCTACTGCGCATTAGCATCACCTAAAAAGTGTGTGCTGGTGCTAATGTGCAGTAGCACTGATTATAGTGCATTTAGTTAAGTACCTGTAATTACAGCATGTTAATGTATGTGTAGATGTGCCCAATGTCTAACAGCAGACAGGGCTGATACAGGGTGCTTTCTGGTTGGAGGACAGTGGAGAACTTGGCACTTTCGCTCTTTTGGAGCTGCATGCCAGAGAAATGCATTTAAGTAGAGTTCCCAAACAGCTCCATAAAACACCTTCTGATTTATTTTATGGCTCTCTCAGCTGAAATGGATCTCTTTATTTAGGACTACAAAATTGCGCATGTGTCTTTGAACATGAGTGGGAACAGTACTCAAATGAGTTAGAATGAGCAGGGATTCTAATCAAGCTTTTAATTGTATGGACTGCATTCTAATTGTCTTGTGAACTGTCTCTTCTCTTTCTGCAACTGTGTGAATCCCTTCCCCTCCTGCTGGCATTGCAATACCATTCCTGTGATTCCTTAGAAGTTGCTTTAATGGAAAAGAAGTATTAGGGAAAAACTTTTATTTTAGTGAACTTTTAATGCAATTTACGAGCAGGAAAGAGAGGAAAAGCCAGATGCAACTCATCAGCTCTTCACAGACCACCAGCAAATGCCCTGTGGACCACAATTTGGGAAACGTTGCAATATATATGTGTAGACCGGATAGCAAATGTGTTTTTAACCGAAAGGGAATTTGGGCAAGTCAACCTGATAATCAAAAATACAGTGACAACAAATTTCTCAGTACTGCCATGAAAATGGGTGATGTGGAGTGATTCTGTCAAGTGGTTAATGGAAGAAACCAACAACTTGAAGCCCAGAAATTTGGGTCATCATAAGGCTGTTCTGCAGCAAATACCACAAGTCATATTATCCTGAGGTGTCTGTGCTTTGGATTCCTATACTGGGAAGAAGCAATGGCTCTAAAATAAGAAATAGGAGCAGTGGGGTGGGGAGAAGTGGATAAAGAAATCTGTGTGGAGGGCACTAAAAAGAAAAAAAACCTTAAAAAGAAAAAAACACTAAAAAGAAAAAATATATTTTTGGGTTGCTGTGCAATGATCTCTTTTTCCAAGATGAGAATGCAAGACATTTTAAATCTGCCTCCCTCCATTTCCTTTGTCACACAAATGCTACTGAAGGCTGTAACAAGGGGTAAGCGTGATATTTATGCAAATAAATGACGACAGCTTTGTAAGGAGCCTGGGCACAATGTGAAGCAGAGAGCCATAGTTCCAGTAGGCTGCTTACTTTGCATCAACAAATCATTGAGCATGGCCTTTCTGCCCTCTTGTTGCTCAGTGTGGCACAGGAGCACTGAATGGTCTAAAGACTTTTCAAAAAGTAAAGCTTTGTTAGAACCAGCCCCAGCATTAGTATTCTAAAGCTATCACTCAATGTACCCATCAGTGCAAGATGTTAAAACAAACAGGCTCTGAAGACCACCAAAATACTGCACAAAACCATTATTAGGAGCTGGGATTATGTATACAGCATAGAAAATCATCTTTTGTTGAATAAGGAGAAACCAAGAATAA